GGTGGGCCAATGGCGGGCCGGGCCAAAACGGGCCGGGCTGGCCCGTTTTGCCATCCCTAAAATTTGATATAAAATACGAGTTACAAAATAGAGCATGTCTAAGTATTTACTTTTACACACACTATATTATAAATATTTTAATTATTTTTAAATTATTATTCAATTTTAATAAAATTTAACATAAACATATAAGATAATATAAAATTATAATTTAATAATTAAATCGATAATATTCATATTTAATTAAAAATTATTAAATGATTAATAATCGTCAAAAGTTACACTAGTATTTAAACTCTCCTATATATATATTAGTTATGAAATATTTTTAACAAGATTATTAAATATTGCCACATATTAAAATATCAGTATAGAGTGTCTTTAATGCAAATGATAAGAGGAGTATAGGTGTTCATTGTTCAATTCAGAGACAAACTCATTTATTTATTCCTAGTAATTTAGAGTGGATACGGTTATTGAAACCATAATGAGTGTGGCCTTGTGGGAGTATTAAGGTTAATTGTCCAGAATCCAGATCCATCTAGAAAAGGGCAGGTATCTGAGTTCTGAAACCTCACTCGTTCCTATTTTATAGGAATAGGAATCCGAACAAACAACAAAGCCACGACCATGACTCGTCCTTTACAATTCCTCTCTCTGATTCTCCTTTTCGCACTTTTGTCTCTGGCCACTGCCTCCCAAGTCTTCGAAAGGTGGTGCAAGGAACACGGCAAAACCTACTCTTCCGAGGAACAGAAACGGTACAGGCTCAAAGTGTTCGAGGACAACTATGCCTTTGTCGCCGAACACAACCGAAACGCCAATACTTCCACCTACACCCTCTCCCTCAACGCTTTCGCCGATCTCACTCACCATGAATTCAAAACCTCTCGTCTTGGTCTCGCCCTTCCCCCTTCCTTGCTGCGATTCAAACGTCCCCGGAATCAACAACCCCCTCACCTTCTTCAAGTTCCTTCCGAGATCGATTGGAGAAAGAGTGGGGCAGTTACACCCGTCAAGGACCAAGGAAGCTGTGGTATGCTACTACTTTTCTTCTGTTTACTCCTTTTTTTTTTACAAATAAAATAATTCTACTTCCTTAATATTTATAGATAAAATAGTGACCAGCTTAATCATAATCATTTTGGTATTATGTTAAAATTTGAATTTAAGCTTAACTGAAACAGTTTATGAGGTGAAGATTGTCTTTTTAGCTTCAATTATATGTATTATTTTGCATCACTTGTCAATGCGGGACCTACAACACTTCTCAAGAGAGTTCTTGAGAAACTAATGTCTTTTTTTGAAATTGATTGTGCATAAATAGACAAATGTTATATGTTAATGGGAGACAGAGGGAGCGTTTAGTTGGCCTCTAATGTGACCAACAACTATAGTCTGGTCTGCTATTTTACGATTTTTCCAATTGGTGGATTACGCTTTAAAGGAAAAGCTGGTTTAGTACGAAAACTTTTGATATAAAAAGTTACTAAAGGTTGGTACTGGATGGTTTATGCAAAAAGTTTCTTGGTTGATTTTGAATTTGGATTTCTTCCACTTAAGTTATCGTTTTAATCTGTAGTGGTAGAGAGTAAATATATGTGTTTACATGATGTAGTTCAGTGACAGCATGAGATGTGTGTTATCTAGGTGCCTGTTGGGCGTTCTCAGCTACCGGTGCTATTGAAGGTATAAATAAGATTGTCACAGGGTCTCTTGAAAGCCTTTCTGAACAAGAGCTGATAGATTGTGATAGATCCTACAACAGCGGTTGTGAAGGTGGACTCATGGATTATGCTTACCAATTTATCATTGACAACGGTGGGATTGACACCGAGGATGATTATCCATATCAAGTTCGGGAACGGACTTGCAATAAGGACAAGGTATGTGCTTCACTTGTTACTTTCCCTCCAAAATGTTGAATTGTTAAGTTTTGGAGTCTATGAAAAAGCTTGTAAATTACCTACACGTGTTAGTCCAAGCACCAAAGAGCATGGTTTCTCTTAAACTAGGTCTTGAGTTCAAGTAAAAAGAAAAGAAAAGAAAAAGTTGTTAATCAGTTCACCTAGTTTGACTCAAATTAATCAAGTTTTAATGTGACTTTTGACCAAGGGTCTAAGCAAAAAAAAAAGACCTGCGAAATATCTTGTTTTTCCTTTTCTCTAGTGTTTACTTGTTTTGTTGATATTAGTATGTTTATATGTATTCACCCCTTTTTCTTGCATCTAATATACAGTTAAGAAGGCGTGTTGTTACAATTGATGACTATGTTGATGTGCCTCTGAATGAGGAAGAGTTACTAAAGGCTGTTGCAACACAGCCTGTAAGTGTAGGGATATGTGGGAGTGAAAGAGCATTCCAGTTGTACTCAGAGGTTGGTGGTCCCAGTTGTCAATATTAGTCCTAACTTATTTCTGTATTAGTATAAACTCATATTTTTATTATCTATCTTCCATTCAATTAACAATGCAATAAAACGTTGATCTTATTTCTGTATTAGGGTATCTTCACCGGTCCATGTTCAACTGCTTTGGATCATGCAGTATTGATAGTAGGATATGGTTCAGAAAATGGAGTTGATTATTGGATCGTAAAGAACTCATGGGGAAAATATTGGGGAATGAATGGTTACATACACATGATACGAAACAGTGGAGATTCCAAAGGGATATGTGGAATCAACACATTAGCTTCATATCCTATCAAGACCAAGCCTAATCCCCCTATCCCTCCTCCCCCAGGTCCTGTAAGATGTAATCTGTTTACTCATTGTTCACAAGGAGAAACATGTTGCTGTGCTAGGAGCTTTCTTGGAATATGCTTTTCTTGGAAATGCTGTGGATTAACTTCTGCAGTCTGTTGTAAAGACAAGCGCCACTGTTGCCCCCAAGATTATCCAATTTGTGATACAGGAAAGGGCCAATGTTTAAAGGTTTGTATGACTGCTTCCGACCTGTGCTTATCACGTAAATGATCAATTGGTGCCCACAAATTGGGTGATGAATTTTTCAACATATATGTTCTAATAAAATATATTTCATTATGCATGAATTTTCACTTCACTTCAACGATTTTAAGTTGATAACCATGCTGCTGGCTGCAAATTTTCACTAAGAAATACTAGCAACGTACTTAATTCATCCTAATAATATTTCATATATTGAAAAAATACGTGTAGTTAGCATTGCATTTTTAGTAAAAAAAATATGCTTACTGACTGTCTATACACTTGCAGATGATTGCAAATGGGACAACAACAATCGCATCTGAGAACCAGGATTTTTCCCACCAGCCAAGAGGTTGGACATCTCATTAAGGATTTATGTTCAACGCCATCCATTTGTATGATCGAGTCATTCTAGTTGCGTTGCTATCCTATTGTATTACTGAGGTATTTCATTACTAATAGCTGATTAGGGTTCAAAAGGATTCAAGTTTTGGCAAAATGGATTATATTTGTTATGGTAGGGGGTATTGATAGGATAAGCCAATAGGGAATGAATGTACTACCCGAATGTAATACCAATATATATACTATAGAGTAAAGATGTTAGTTTCTTTTTTTGTTATGTAGTCCCCTATTAGCATATATACCATAATCATTTGTTTTTTAAGTTTGTGGAACTAAAATTAAGGGATTATCTATTTTAAAAGGCTCAATGAAATTGATTTTCCAATGCTTGATTATGAACCATAACATAGTTGAAATGTGTTAAATTCAGTCATAAAGTTACATTAAAACATCTTTTTTCTTTTAAAAATGGAAGAATTGTTTTTTTAACGCCAAAACGAAAGGTGTTAAGACAAGGTCACAGATATTGCCAAAGGAAACAACCCTCAATCCTTCCATTAGAGCCTGTTCTGTCCATGTAGATGTCTGTTTTGGTTAACATGACAGGTGAAAATGGGATGATACAGCTAAATTCATTTGGATTATTAATGACATGCTTGGATATTAGTTTGCACATCTCAAACCTCTGTTTGCATATAGTAACTTGAAATTTTCATTAAATGTTTTTTAACAAAATTACACTTACATTATCAATAAGTTGTTAATTCAAGTGAAATTAGACTCTATCTTCTTAAATAAGGTTCTGAATTTAAGTCTTGTAAATGAAAAAATATAGTTGAGAAGAAAGATCTCACAAAAGATAATTAGGTTTCTTAGTTGAAATTTGTTATCAATAAAGTTGGTAGTACTTAGCACCAATAATAGAATTATAAAAGAAATTATAATTTTAATTCATAAGTGATTAAAAGTAAATGAATGTAATTATATATAATTATAAATACTGATTAATAGTTTCAATGAGTTATTGAAATGTTCTATAGTGATTAATTTTGCATGTGTAAATGTAATTATTTGGCCTCTCAATTGATTAAAAGTGAGTATACAATTTTTCATATATGTTAATAATATCATACAATTATTGAAATGTTTAGTGATAATTAACTTTGTATTTGAAGTAGTCAAGTTGATTAATATTAATTCTATGTCAATAACAATATATAATTACATTTTTTTTAAACTATTTATGAGATAAAATTAATCATATTTATACATATAATTTTTCACATGTTAAGATGGACTTCTCACATTTTAAGGTGGATGTTGGACAGACAAAATAAGGGTGAATTTTGAGGTTTATTATTTATTTTGTTAGAAAATGATTTTGTCTCTCAAACCATAAAAAAAATTGATAAAAAATATTAAAAAAATTATTTTTAAAAAAAATCATACCAGTACTTTGAAAACTGACTTGGTTATTGAACCAGTAAAAATACTTATTCAAGAAGGTTTAATGGTGATTGAATTAATAATAATTAAATAATATTTTTCAAGAGATTGGTATATATATTAAACAATATTAGCTAAATTTTGGTCATGCTGAATGGTGGAAGCAGGTAGATAGATACGGGTAATTTTCCCTCCACAATATTTTTCTTTTACTTAAATGATCTTTTTGTCCCCATAAAAAATAGGTGTAGCCCCTTAAGACAATTTAAAAAAAAAATGAAAATAGAAAGTTATAAAAGATAAAAAAATATTAAATTAAATTAATTTTATCAATTTATATTTCTAAATTTTACTCTTTTTTTTTTTTTTTTTGCATTTTTAACACTAAACATAAGGTATTTTTTTTCTTCATACATGCAAAATTCTTTTTTCATCCACCGTATGTTACTATATTCAACAAAATAATTTATTATAATGGAATTATTGGATGCATAAAATAAATATAATAGTATTCATTCATTACACTTTTACTTGTTTGACAGCACCCAAAAGAGAAACAAAATGTGTAAATCCTTATTATAGATACATAATTAAGGACCGTAGAAGTGAAGAATCGAGCAAAAAAAGTATTCCATCCGTTTTTTATTTATAATTATTTTGATATTATTTTTTTATTGTCACTTTTCTAAAATTAATAACTTATTATTTTTTTTTCATTTTTTTTAATAATTAATATGTGTTTATTAAATAATATATTTATTTATTTTTTTAATGTATATATTTTTTCTCTAACCACCTAAAAAGTATAACAGAAAAATAAGTAATAAATATTTTAAAAAATTATAATATCAATCATTTTTTTAATTTTTATGCATAACCTTAAACATCAAACAAAAAAAACTCGAAAGAATATCATAGCCTCCCAAAAAAAATTGTGTTATTTTTATGGATTTTTTTTTCCCAAAAAAATAGGTTACAAATGCAACATAATCAATTATAAAAAATAATTAATAAACAATAATACAAGGGATATTAAGATAAAATATTAATAGTGATAATTAATTTTATTTATTATTTTTATATGAAATAATTCTTTAAATCTTTTTTTTCACTTCTTTTCTACTTCTGTCTTAATAAACAATTTCTCCATTCTATTCTCTCTCCTCTTTTCTCTCTAATCTCTATCTACCAAACAAAGCATAAAAGAAAACTTTTCCCTCCATGAGCTGTCAACCTATTTTTTATTGATAAAGTACCACATTGATTAATCGAGTGTAAATGAATTGGTAAGACAACGCTTATTTTAAGATATTATAAGACACCCTCAAAAATCATATTCTCATAAATATTTTGACTGATATGCTATTTTTGAGTATCTTTAGAAAACATGTTTAGTTATATTTTAATATTTTTTAAAATATTTTTTAAATTTTAAATAAAGTAATTAGAAAAATAGTTATAAGTGTGTTAGGATTGTCATGAGAATACCACATTCTCATGCCTTCAGCATAGAAATAAGAAGGAAAAAAAAACGATAGGAAAACATTTTCAATGATACACAACATTTAAGAATAATTTTTAAAAACTTGTAAGAAACATAAAAATATTACATTCTCGTATTCGAACGTCATTTTAAATCCTTGCAACAAACTCTTCCTGAGTTATAAAATAAAAAAGCGCTTGTCACCATATCTTGTTAAAGCCCACATCAGATAGAATTGCATTTGAAGGCCTCAGATACTGAATTGCTGCATTATACAATAAATTGATGAAATCCCATATCGGTAACTTTTGAAAAGTGAACGCTTTTTTATAAACTAGAAGTGTTTGAGGTCCACATTGGATATGTAACAAGTACAATTGATCTGTACTACAATTTTAAAGTAAATTATTGAATAACTTCTTTCTATTATTGAGTCACACATAAAATAGATTAAGGCGTGCAAGTAAACTATTGCACAATTAAAAAATTAGCTTACATGATGGGTTATAACTGTGAACAACAGGTTTTTCTGTATCTATGATTAAGAACACAAGTTTTATTGACTCAAGTCTGGAATTATAAATTTCTGTTTCATGGCCTTTTAAACTGCATGTATGATCTGTTATTGGTTCAATTTTAACAATTAAACTATAATTTGCATGAATAAAACATGCTAATAAATTAATGTTACAATAATATTTCTATGAACAGTACTTTTTATTTCACCTCCTGTAACGAAGTCAAATAGAGAATTTTGCACGAATATTCTTATTGGAAGTATAAAACCTTTTCTTTGCAAAATGTTCCGTTCCATTTCCTCACTGACTGAGATTTTCATTTCTATTTTATTTTATTATTTTATTATGTCAGTTTACTTTCCATGGATTCATTAAATAATATTTGAACTACATATCATTATTTTTTCTTCTTCTATGAAATCAATCAAGGCTAACAGGTAGAACATAAATAATATTTGAACTAAATATATTTTCTATTTTTATGAAAAGAGTACCAGATGTCAGATGCACAAACATTTGGTTTTAGTTTCGATAAAATAAATAAATAAATAATGATCAAATGTAATTATGTAAGTGTATCTCTAATCCTCCTTTAGTAAATAAATTAGAAAAGAGAAAATATGTATAAAAAAAATAAGGAAAGGGAAAATAATATTATCCCTTTGTCTTAAATAAAAAAGAAAATATATTTAGTAAAAAAAACATTTTCATTCTATTATTTTTCTTTTTGACAAAATCGGTTTTCATACTCAAAGTATATCACAAATGTATAAATTTTAGTCAAAATCTATTTATATATTTTGTTAATTTTTAATCAATATTTATTTGAAAGAAGATCATTGGTTCTTATTTAAGTTCATGTGATTCGTGCCATCTATTTTCGGAATGGATAACATTGTTCTCAATACAAAAATCAAAGGCTCTTGTTGTCCATGTACATTTTTTTTAAATCATGAAGTATTGGTTCAACAAATGTAATTATTGGATTGTAAAGAACTCATGGAGAAAAGACTGGAGAATGAATAGATACAAACAATTGATACTAAATATAAACAAATCCAAAAGGAAATGTGTAAAATCAACACATTAGGTTTATATCCTACAAAAGGCCAAGAATAATTCTCTTTTCCGAACTCTCCTGGTCCTGTAAATATAATTTGTTTACTCATTGTAAATGAGGAGAAACATGTTGGACTAAGAGCTTTCTTGAATATGTTTTTCACGGAAATACTTATTCTGATCGATATTTTAAAAGGTTAATGTATATGATTAATTAATGTAGACAAATATTAAACATATTTTACTTAGCCTTGATTTGATTTATTTTGTTTTTTAACTTCTGTCTTCCCTGTCTTTTGACTTGGTCTCAAGTAGTGGTTGTGTTTTTTTATATAAAAATTATTTGTGTGATATATTACCAATTTTGTTTAGAAACTTATCTGATCTCCGATGATGAGTTTTTACCCCAATCATTTTTTTTTTTGTCAAAAGGATAATTAAACTATAAAAAAAAAAAAAAAAAACTTTTTTGCCTTTTTGATGATGTCAATACTTACAGAAACTATCTGCCTATGTTTGCCTAAAATTGATACTAGCTTTTACAAACTTGCCTCAGTTGTCACAAAAATTATAGAAACAATCTAAATCCTTATATAATAACTGGCTAGCGGGTATCAGAGATAGGAGACTACTAAAATGTGGTGAAGGCAACCAGAAAGCCACATAGCCACATTGGTATGTTATCTGATGGTCTCAATGGTAATTGATCCCATAGTTAAATAAACACTTGCTCTATTCAGCCAGCAAACCGAAACAAAATTTATTTTTGTTCTCATCCTGAATGATTTGGTGTACCTCAACTTTTGAAGAAAAAAAAAAGTACATGATTATATTCCTCAAACTGTGAACCAAATTATTTTCCCATTAAATCCTTGAACTAAAAATTGTCTAATAACAGCAAACACATCAATCCAAATAAAATTGGCACAAGTTAAGATGTGATTGGTTGGAAAGAAAAAGAGGATATATATATTTTTTTATAGAGTTCAGTTTTTGATAAATGAGGGAAATAGATGGGATAAAATCCCTCCTCATCTAATTTTAAATTCACTCCCATATTGAGTTTAAGGTTTAGAGAGAAAGAGGAATTTTAAAATATTTTTAATATAATTTTTAAAATATCCTTACATATATTTTTAATTTTAAAATTATATAATTAAAAATATTAAAATCTCTCCTCTCTCTTTATCAGCTAGACCAAAAAGAGCTATCATCTCTCCCATCCTATCTATTAAAATTCTTCCCCTAGTTTGAAGCAAACAAGATTTCTAAACCCTCTCTGTTCTCTATTAAAATCCTCTCCAGCCGTGTTCTGTTCCGAAGGGAAAGCCAATTTAGCATTCATAACAATTCACATTGGCGACATGAAATGTGAAAATGGAAATCATGAGGCAGCGATGTGAAACAGGTTCTACAAGGGAATCAAAAGCATGTGTCTGATGTATGCATTTATTCAAACAGAATATATGCTGCTACTAACCGCAAATCATATATACCGTATTTATCTATGAAGTAGAGCAGCAGAGTATATATATAAATATATAAAAGGCATCAGGAGAAAGCAAAGAGAACAGGAAAAGAATTTACAACTATATTCTGAATATGTTGGAGGGATAAAGTTACACTTAGAAGCAAGAATACCTTGGGAAATGGAATCAAGAAGAATTGGAAGAAGAGGGAAAGACGTCTTTGACAGCAGAGGCAGCAGTGAGGTAATTAAGCGTGTTCTTCAAGGTTTCCTTCTCCCTCTGCAATCTGGCGGCAGTGTCCTCCAATTCAAGCAGCGCTTGTTGCTCCCTAGGCGCGCCCTCGAAGGTGCTCCCTACGAAGAAGGAAAACGGCGTAGGGAACAAGTTTCTCCTCAAATCCCCAACCTCCTTCTCCGGTTTCCCTCCCAACCGGTTCGACAGCCGGATAACGTCCTTCATGTAGGTCTCGACCTCGCCGGCCAGCCCCTCCAGGTCCAGGTCGGCCGAGGGAGCAGGCCGGTCCTCCAGCCACGTCACCTGCGCGACCAGGTACGGCTTCGTGCGGACCACGCTCGTCACGCGGAACCGCTCCTGGCCCTTGCAGATCAGGAAGAATCGGTCGTCCACCAGACGCTCGTGCTTTATCACTTCGCCCACGCACCCCACGTCGGCGCTCCCCGAAACGGCGTCGGTGTAGATCACGCCGAACCGGAGGTCCGTGTGGAGGAGCGTGTGCATCATGATGCGGTACCGGAACTCGAAGATCTGCAGCGGGAGGATGGCGCCGGGGAAGAGGACCAGCGGGAGAGGGAACAGAGGGAGCTCCACCACGTCGTCCGAGTTCGACGAGTTCGTGTGGTGCTTCTCCGAGAATGAGGAGGCGGAGCACCGCAGAGTGGAGTTCGGCCTACGGCGCCGGTGCCGGAGATTAAGATGGTGCTGCGGCGGCGAGGTTGGGAATTTAGGGTTTAGAGAGAGTGAAATAGGGTTTAAGGAGGGGTTGTGTGGCAAGGAAGACGAGGAAGAAGGCGTAGGGATGAGCTGCGCGAATGCCATTTCCATTTCCCAATACGAATTTTAGAAAAGAAAGAAAGATAATACAAGTAGTGAATCCGAGAGACAAGGTTTTGTTGTGTGGTTACTATTGGTTCCTAGTTCTCACTTACTACCTCCCGCGCTATTATTATTATTATTTTTTATTTTTCAGCTTTGATTTGCGAACTTCACACTGCCCAAATCAAATATGTAAAATATCCGACAGACGTGGATGGATTTAAATTTTCTTACATTTGGTGGTTTAGAATAAAGGCAGGTTTATGTGGATGAGATAATTATAAAAGAGGATTAAGGAGAAGTTTTGGTTTGTCCACGTGAGAATGCTGGATCAGGCCTCATACTATCCTCTTGGGCCTAACGGCCCAATCTTTGGATTGAAAATCTCACCGACCTTTCAATAAAATAATACTAGTAATTAGGAAATAAGAATTGGACACGTGAGTGTTTGGTGTTGACACATGACATGACGCGCCTGACCTTGTCGTGTCACGTCATGCGTGATGCTTTGTCACTGTATTAAATTAAATAATATACAAATGTGGAAGCGTGTGGCACAATTTTTGTTTATGATGACAGATCACGTGACACCTTATTATAAAAGAGGCGGGGGGGTTAACAGCGAAGACAGGGAACGCGTAATAGTTAAGCTAGCTTTGAAGAGAGAAAGAAAGAGAAGAATGGCGGAAGAGGGACAAGTGATCGGTATCCACAGCATCGATGCGTGGAAGGAACAACTCGAGAAGGGAGTTCAAACCGGCAAACTGGTTATTTATTGCCCTAAAACTTGCTCTTTCATTTCTTTTTGCTTTGTTGCGTCTTGATTTGCACAAGTATAACCGCCCTAGGGTTTTCTAATTCGGAAATTCCTTCATTGTTTATTGCCTTCCAGAAAGAGGTTTTTTTGTGATCAATGTCAACTCTAGATTCTTTTATAACACATATTTGTTGATTTTGCATCTCTGGAATGGATGAACTTGAAATTATACATTGTATAAAAAAAATGTTATTGCCTTGTATAAATTGTGGACAAGTGCTGGATTGCTTCGTACTATTTTCTTTTGGTAGTTTGGATGGGGCTGTAGTCCCTTCGAATTCTTTCTAGGTGAAAGAGTAGGACTTCTCTAATGGTATGGTGACTATGTTCCTTCATGGATAATATAATCCCTGGATTATCTATTCCTGAGATATTGCTGTTGGTTGGTTAGAGATCATTACCCTCTGTTACGTTGTTCCCCTTCTGCAAAACAGCCCCTTTGATATTTATTTGTGTTTGCTTTTTTGAATTTTGAAATATGATCACATTTTGCTACATACTAGTTTCAAACCTAATTGCAACCTTTGAACAGACTGTGTTTTTTGGCCATTTGACCTCAAGTTACAGAATTTAATTTGACATTTGAAGTGTTCTATTTAGTAATGCCGTTTTGATATCTTCAAATTCAATACAGAAAGAAAATATTCTGTGAGACTGGGTATCCGGGATGCTTGCTATTAAAATTGTAATTGCAGAGCATGTTGGTCCGAGTTACTTTTTTGTTGTTGAAATATTTTGGTTCCTTTTGTGATTTAGTCTCTTGCTTAATATGTTGTTAGCATGATTTATCATTCTTTAAAATTGCTTAACTTTTCATCAGTTGATTTTAAACAAAAATTATAATATACTGAAAAAAAGTTACATTCATAGATTGTGGTGGATTTTACTGCTTCTTGGTGCGGCCCATGCCGTTTCATTGCTCCAATTCTGGCTGAGATTGCTAAAAAGACGCCTGAAGTCACCTTCCTCAAGGTGGATGTGGATGAATTGAATGTGAGTTTATCTGAATCTATTACATCACATTATTTTATTTTTTTATTTTCATTCCTAAAGCGCTATGAAGATTATTTCCTTAACTAAGGATCTGGCAATCACTTTGGTTTCTTCAGCCTATTTCCGAGGAGTGGCGTGTTGAGGCTATGCCAACCTTCCTGTTCTTGAAAGGGGGCAGGGAAGTGGACAGGGTTGTCGGTGCCAAGAAAGAGGATCTGCAAAATGCAATAACCAAACATGCTACCATTACCGCTGCTGCTTGATGTGCTATGTTAAAATGTGGAGAACAATAAACTATTTTTCTTCGAGTCAGTTTGCTTTTGCTTTTCTTTACTCTGTTTGCATGGTTTCTTCATGACTTTGGAGTTTGTAAAACATGGTTTGTGGTACGTGTAAAGAAATTGTTGCTATGTGGTGCATAAAGTCATTCTTGCTAATGAGGATGGGCAATCTACAAACTATCAAGTTAATGGTATTTATGAAAATATTTTGCTTAGTGCGATATGTTTATCATTGCCGTAAACTAGAATGTTTTTCGCGGACAAGGAAAACTGTTGAAAACTCTTAAAAATAAACTCATTTTACTATTAAACAGTTTGATATTGGTCAAACAAATTTTGAAGTTTGTTATTTAAGCTGCAAATCTTGTTACAGAACACATTCTTCTTTTCTTTACACAAAATGGTAGCCTCGTGACTTTTTTTTTAATATATTGTTTTTTTTATAATTATCTATAACTATTATAAAGAGGATACAGGAGATGTAACCGTTTTTTGGTCTCAATTTTTTAATGGACCATTATATCCTCAAATGTAAAAAAAAATCTTAAAATTTCTTTAAATAATTATACACAACTTTCTAATATTTTATTAATAAATAACTATTAGAGGCACGAACCTCTCTAGTTTTAATAACATGGATTCATTTTTATTTATCAAAATAATCTATTTTAAGAAGTCTTTTAAGAAATCGGATATCTAGTAATTTTTTTTGTTTTTTATTTTTTGTTTTTAAAAAATTAAAAAAATAATTTAATTAAATTTTCAGAAATTAAAAAATATATTTAATATTTAAATTAAATAATTTCTAAAGAATAATATTTAATAATAAAATTATTATTATATTTATTTTTAAAT